TGATGCTTTCTTTTGTTTTTGGGACTGGCTAATGGGGAGCATTAAGTGTGAGCACCATGCCAAGCGGGCATTCGGGAAACTCGGTGTCAGTACTATAGGAAACGTAAAAGATTGAGAGAAAGTTCAATAAGGAAAATGACTTTGGATACGCACCGAGACGAGCCAGATGAATCCTTTTTAGAGCATCTTAACTGTGGGAATTCTTCATTCAACGTATTCTGGAGCGCAACGCTTTGCCAAGTCCCCCACCTCGCTGCCTCCTTCCTCCCTCATTGAAATTTTGCCAGGCACACAGACATCGCCCATTCTTGGCATCAAGCTTGGCGAGAAACTGTGAGACCAAAAGAGTGACAGAGACACATTCTTTTGTAGTCGTCTGGTGACCACTTTGTATTTGTGCCAAGCATTCTTCATGACTGGGAAGACTGGCAGCTATTTCCTTGACTCTACCTCCTTTGATCAGCTGCTGACTGCTTTTTGGGTGTCTCCTGATTTATGAGTTTATTTGTGTGTTTACATAAATGTGACACACCCAGAACCGAAATTATTTATGTCTGGCTGTGTTCACACCACAGCTCCATTTTTTGCCCTTATGCGACACGTATCTCTTTTTCCCATGTAGTAGGAATGGTACAATTTCGATTTGTTTCAAATCCAACTTGGGCCTCTTTTGTACGTGGATTTCAATTGGATATGCGTGCGATGCATCTGAGGTATGACCGCTCATCCATACACATCTGACCTACACGTCATCAAAAGCGCAGGCATGGGAGAATGTTTGGGAGGGGAGACTACTGACAGTAGTAATTCACCCACGCAGATGGTTCATTTATTATGCGGGGCAATGACATGATGTCATCTTTAGGAGACATCTCCAGAAAATGAAAAGATCAAGGAAGGTCGCCTCATACCCCCAAAATATTTGTACTTCCTCCCACCTGGCTGCACAAGCAATATGAGGTGATAAAAAGATGAGCCCCTAGAAGCCGATCCATATTTACTTTTGTAAACACTGCGACATGTGACATTTTGTTTTTGTGCAAACATTTGTAGAGATTCCAGTATTATGATAAGTCTTCTAAAATGCGTTCCTCTTCTTTTATACCATTTTTTTTTCATTTGGATGTGATTTTGACATGTCCCACCCAGTGTTCTGCTAACTACAAAGTGTTTAAATGACACAAAATCATTTTTACATGGTTTTATTGTCCACAACAAGTTATTTGATCAGATATACCATTTTGGGCATTTATATTCGATTTTCAGAATCATAGTGATCATTTTGCATGTGTCCCTGAATCTGAAAGTCACCTTTTTGCGATAGTAACTCAGTTGATTTTGGTCCATGATCCCAACATGCAGCTAACCCAGAAGCAGAGTATTCAGCCATTTGAGCCATATTTATCTGTATCATCAATATTAGACTGTCCACTCCAGTCAGGGGCTGTTTTCTTTTTGGCCAAACAGAGCTTGCAAATGTGCCATTGGCACTGTTGAAGGGATGGGCACCATGCCGAAGCGCCCCCCCCCCACTCCCCCCCACCTCTGCCCTACGCCTGTCTGGTTCTCAAATCAGACAAAAAGAGTCTAGGGACGTTAATGATGGGCTGGTCTGGACCTACGTCAGGCTCTATGCTCATTTATGCAAGTCACTTACCTTGCGGACATTTCTCGACTTGAATTAATTTTTTTCCTTTCATATTACCAGCCCGACCTTGATGTGCGACTGTTTCAACTGAATGAGTTGGCTTCGCCTTGCCGTTTGGCACAAGTACGAGTGTCCATCACTCGACATGGAACAGCATCAGACGACGCCAGAATGGGAAAAATGTTTTACTGCAGACCTAAAATGGCCGGTGCGAAAGTCGCCATTTTGTATTTCCTTGTTTTGTTTTGGGGGGTAGAATCCCAGCCCTGTATTCGATCCGAGGCAGCTGGCGACAGCCATGTGTTCGATCCGAGGCAGCTGGCTGCAGCCATGTTTGCAAGTGTGCTTGTGTGTGTGTGTGTGTGTGTGTGTGTGTGTGTGTGTGTGTGCGTGTGTGTGTGTGTGTGTGTGTGTGTGTGTGTGTGTGTGTGTGTGTGTGTGTGTCTACATTTGTGTGAGAAGCAGCACAGGGATAGCCCGCTGGAAAGAGCTCCGTTTTTGGAAAAACGGAAATGAGCTCCTGGCATAGAGGGGATTCATTTTTTCTTTCTTTCTCTTTCGATCACATGCTCGAGTCACAGGAAGCCAGTGAGTGTGTATTCTGTTTGCCTTTCACACGTTTCTCCTGTCAGTGTGCTTATGTCTTTGATATCTTTGAACTACTATTTAAATCAAAGACTTGCTAAAATCTTTGGAAATTTCATATTACTATTATTCAGATTAATATGTCAGGTAATTTAGAAGGAAAGCATGATGGAATTTAGTGTTCGGACCTGAATGCATTCAAGTAATTGATAACTCTCATGTGTGTTTCTCTTGTAGCATCGCAGGTGTGCGACCTTGATGGCGCCAGCATGTGAGGCAACATGAATGCTGCCCTTGGGCCTGAGGTAGTAGATTGAATAGTTGTGAGGGTTGTGTAGCCTCTTTTTGAGATAACTATACAATCTACTGTCTTTCCCAAGGAGACGGCTTACTCAGCCAATCATCGCCCAAGTGACAACTGCACTGGCCAATCAGAACACATGCACGCAACGTACCTGGACGGTTGTGACCATTTCTGTGTTTGCTCCCAAGTGTTGTATTAGGTTACCGGTACTTGCCAGGCAGATGTGTATTTGAACTGGGCTTTGTCAAGGTGAGGTAGTAGGTTGTATAGTTTGGTGGGTGGGTCTACACCCTGCTCAGGTGATAACTATACAGTCTATTGCCTTCCTCGAGAAGCTCACAAACAACTGAATAAATACGACACGGTTTCCCAATCACTATTGAACTGGAGGACACATTTTACATTTCAAAAATTTCGAGGCGCAGCACCCAACAAAAATGTCACAAAATGTATATAATTTAGACTGGATGTTAAGTTGTCCCAGTATACTAAACGCACAAATTTGCTTAATGTGAAATCTGGGCCTGTTTAGTTGAACACAAAGCTACTATTTTATTGGATGAATGGCAACAGATGGAGCACAGGTTAATTTTGCCTTCTGCCCTCTTGTGGAAGCACATTCAATTGTTTTGCATATCAATATACATTTCTAGCATAGATTGATGAAAAAAAACATTAATTCCAGTGGATGAGGAACAACTAGATTACATACAGTATTGAATAATGCATGGAAAACGTCTTTACGTCATTGTAAGTTTCATGTGACTAACATTCAGGTTGTAAATGACAATAAAGTTGTTTCAAATGAGTCGACCTTCCAATAAATTCTCAAAAAATAAATAAATTAACAATTTGTCTTTATGGGGAGTTGTGTGTAGAATTTTGAGGGAAACAATTTATTTCACGTTGGGATGAAGCTGTTACATAATGAAATGTGAAAATCTGTAAATACTTTCTGGCTGTACTCGTATGTCACGAATAATTGCATGAGTCCTGAAAACACCAATTTATGTAACACTGATGATGAGTATTGTACTTTTAATATTCAAAAAAATCAACAGGTGTAACAAGATCTTGAAACGTAGCTATGAAATGTGGGCTTTCTGAATAAATAACACGAACATTTATATTTAACTAATCTTGCTTAAATGTTTGGGTATTCTGTGAGTTATCAATTTAACTTATTACAGCAAGAAGGACTAGCAGAAAAGCCTTACCTTCTGACAGCTGTTACTGTTTCCTCTGCCCTTTCGGAAACCTACAAAGTGTGAGAAAGGTTCGTTAAACAACCAACAACAATATTTACAAAGGAGACCGGCTTCACGAGCGGTGTTCATAATGTTAGCCGCAATCTCAGCAAATTCAGTAAACAAAATTAAGTTATCAGAACTAAGCAGTTGAATACAATTCAAACTCATTGTTAGATCTTACCCGAGAAAGTTTAACTCATGAGGTGTGGTTTTCAGGTTTAAACTTTTTATAAATGAGGATTCGACATCGATCTCTTCACTTTTCCACATCAAATATGGCGACCATATCATCGTACGATTGTATTTATGTATAACAGATTTGCCTGTGGTGGAGACTCTCTAATTGATACAGCAGTCTTGGGCGCCCTCTGATGGAGAAATCTTGAAAGTGTACTTTGTCCTTGCGTAGCCTGTCAGAGAATAAAAAGATTCAGCAGCCTATATGACAAATACGTCGTGATCAATGCTTTATTCGTGTTGACATGATATCGATAAATTTGTGTTATAAAATGCCAACAACAGCCACAACCAACAAGCAAAATCATTCTTCGATTTGACAGTAATTCGACATGTGGGCATTTATTTTACTTCCGACAAGACGAAGGTTGAACAGGAAAACAACAGAATTCAAATTGTTTTCAAAACTTCTGCAATGGTCTTGTGAAGATGATTTTAAAAGACACTGTCATAAGTTGTACATTTCTTTAGGAATTTTTCAATGTATAACTTTTGCTGATCTTTTATGAACCTTGAATTCAAAATAATGGAATGATATTTTTAAACATAACATTGATCACTTTATGAATTTAAAATACAAATAAATGTAGTTCCACTCGGTGACACAATGGCATCATGCTTATATTGTAGATGTAGAGTGCACTTTTGTCAGATATCCATGAGGCCATTGAGTGCAAGTAGCTGCACAAACACAAACCTGCACAAGCAATTCCAAAATTATTTAATATAATCATTATAATTATTAAAAGAATTAGATAATAGCCACAAATATTTCAAAATTTCAGACAAACACATCTATATTACAGAACCAGAAGAACAGGAAACACAATGATTATCAGGAGCGTAGGAGTTTCTACTTATAAAGTAGATATCGGGCGACAATCTATCAGATTTACATTACATTTCCTCATGTCACAATTTTTGGTGATTCTCAAATACTCAGTATTCATATCTTGCTTCGTGGAGACTTTCCACTCTACACCTTATTCGCATCTCCTTGGAGGCCTCTCAGCGTTTTCTCATCGAACCGATATGTGAGTTTCCGTTTCACTTTTTGGATTTCGCCCGTGCGAGCGTAATTCCTCAATGCCCGCGCCATTTTCTGGTAGGTCATTGTCTTGCGGTTCCCTTTTCGGCGCCCCCACATCTCCGCCAGGCACTCTTTGTTTTGGGAGGAGAACTGAAATGTGCCCGAAGAGGACTGGACCCACCAGATGCAGCTTCGCATTGACGGCGTCTGCAGCATCTCGAACAGGAACTGGAACAACCGCTCCTTCCTCTTTCCTGTCAAAGAGGAACGGGATGTTGTTAAATCATGAGGGGACAATGAGTATGACTAAATCAAAGCTTCATACAAAAAACGGAAGGGGGAGAGATTTGCACAAGAGAAGTGTTTGTACCCGAGAATGGAGCAAGAAGTAAGGGGTCTTTGTCGGGTCTGCCTCCGCCATTAGAGGTTGGAGAAGGGGCATCGTGATATTCGTGGTACTGCGAGCAACTGGACTGAGAGTCTGAGTCGATACACACAATCGCCTGATCCGAATAGGCAACGTGATCCTAGAGCAAACGTACAAACACAAGTCACTGGTGGGTTTTCCTTCACCAGCAGATCATTGGCAGAATTTACAAAATGCATTTACACGAGGACAAAATTACCTCCACCACCAAGTACACTTTTAATATGGGATGTCCATTAAAAGTTGCGATATTGAGGCCATCATCAAAATATGCAGATTGATGCTGTCGGACTGAATTATCATATTTCCTAATATGGTCAACTTCGTTTTTCTTTACAAATATGGAGAGAGTAATGGTCTGCCGACTCAAGATTTGAAAGTGTATATTTTGAAAGTGAGTTTGGGAAGATGATGTTATCACTGAACTTAGCTTTTGTTAAGTAATAAAGCCATTAGTTTTTTAGGGGGTGCGTAAGTGCAGACCGATAGGCTGCAACGTGTCTGTAATTTTCCAATCAATGAAAGCAGGTAATAAACGAGTATCCATTTTGTAGCAAATTAAATTTGGCGATTGAAACATGATTATGGAGAAGTGTTATGTTGATGTTGATGCGCAACAGCACATGAAAAAAAAACAGTTGGCAATATTTCAAGGTCACAAACTTTGATAAAATCCTAAAATGGGCAATTCAACAAAATATTTTAAGCTTCGCTAATGTGAAAATTGTCTTTCCCACATTTTCAGCAAAGAAATAATAGTTTACATGACCAGTTGTCCCCTTTGTAGTTCCCCAACTTAAAAAAAAAAAAAAACTATATATATATATAT